TCAACAAAGAATTCTGAACAAAAATCCAAAAGCAGTGTTTATAAACTGTAACAACCATAGTTTGAACTTAGCATGTCTTCATGCTGCAAGTCAGGAAACAACAGTTGTTACCTTTTTTGGTATAATTGAAGCCATTTATAATTTCATATGGTGAAGGTGTTTTCCCAAATTTAAGAATTGCATTGCAGATTTTGTTAACAATTGTGGTTTCTATTGCTAGTTGTGAGAGGTCCTTCAGCAAGCTGAAATTAATTCTTACATACTTGAGAACTTCAATGACTCAAGAATGACTTAGTAACTTGACAATATTAAGTATTGAAAAAGACATAGTTAATACCTTAAATTTTGATAGTTCAATTGATGCCTTTGCAGCATCAAAAGCTCGAAAAGGTTCATATAATGTAACCATGAATACCAGAAAGCTACCTGTACAAGATCTAGTTAAGTATAATGGTTTTATTGTGTAATTTTTCAGACAGTTTAACAGGTCAAGCATAGTAGAATCATACATTTATGGTTAATTCAAAAGTTTGAAATATTAAACTGTTGCTGTTTTAAAAATATGATGTATAGGAATTATGTAACTTGCAATATCCAATCTTTTTATTATGTTTACTTGTTGGTGTTATCCATCAGGCCTAAGCAGGGCATAATTTAGCGGTTAGCCATATTGCAAATCCAAGGATCCATGGTTTGCTTCTTGTAACTAGAGCTCTGCAGTTAACTTGATTAATTGATGTAATCAGCTATCTATGAGAACTGACTGCATCAGTTAGTGTCACATGTATTCTTTTGAATTTATTTTTTCTACATTTTCCTTGGGTTATGTTTGTAACACCACACCTCATACTTTCCTGAATTTTTGTCCCAGTGGAAGTTGTGACAGACACTGGGGTATCTTAGACTTGAAGCTCTTGGGGCTATTTCTCACAAAGCAGTATTCTTTATTCAATAAGTAATTGCAAAATTTATAAAGTAATATAACATTACTATTTGCAAGTATCAATCATGTTATTTCAGGTAACAGAAAAAAAAACATGACATATAAATTGTCTTCTGTATTGTATGTTGTATCGTATAGAATATTATAAAAACGTACTTCATAACTGATCATACAGAAATAGGCTGTGATTGCAATATAGCCTTAAAGGCCTAGGAAAATAAATGTTTTTTTTTTTTTATTGAACAGTGACTTTTTCAGCCCTGTTATTTGCATAAGGAACTTTTGTAAAGACCTCATCCACAAAATTAACTTGAAATTATGTCAGGAACAAAGTAGACATTATAATTTAATAAATAATTAAAATCAACTTTTTATACTTACACAATTTTTAAAACTTTATTGAAGCCATCAGCGGCTTCTATTTTAAAAGCACACACTACATGTACATTGTAATAAATATATATCAAAATATATTAAAAGATAGATATAATGATATCTAGTTGTTTAACATGAGTTGAAACATGCGGTGATCTGTGTACTATTAAATGTGTAGTATCACTTAGGTTATTATGTTTTACAACTTCATGCCATTGCTAAATATTGAGCTTCTTAGTTTAAGTTAGTTAAGTGACAAAAAGAAGTATCAGACTAATTTAGTAATGACAAGAACTGAATATTATCAGTCAAAATTATCAAAACAAAATATCTAAAAACAGAGCCTGGCTAATATTTTATCATTAATGTCCCTGTTCTGCTGAACATATTTTATAAACTTACTACAGTGGATCTTGTTGCATCACATACATGTTGGCTATATCTGACTTGTTTGGAGTATGATAGCATATTTTTGCATTTAGCTTTATAATATAAATATACAAAACATTTTAAAAAAACTAGTTAAATTGCTGTTTGAAAAATTAATAATATATTTAGTCATTAATTTTTGATTTAATGTTGGTAGAGATTTTGGTGTTATAAATAGTTATTATTTTAGTGGTTACTAATATTAATGTATCCTTATTTCAGTTTGATATTATTGCCTTTCCTGTGGATAAGTTGAAGTTTGAAGTAAAGACACACAGATTATGCAGCAGTAGTCACTGTTTTGTTTCAGTACCTTTATGTGTTTTACTTAAAGAATTTCACAATAAGAGGTAAGTAGAACTATATATCATTATTTAAGTGCATGATTACAGTTCTATATTTTAGCTACAATTTTCTAATTAATTAACATTCCCAGTTTTGATTTTAACCTGACATACTTTCTGAAAGGATCCCTTATTGGTAATTTTTTTTTTTTTCACAAAGCTTGAAAATAGCCACTTAAGATATCATTAAGTAATATGTGTGAGAAAAGCAATTTTTATATTGTTACTTATGCATATTCTCATCCCCCAGTGGGCCACCAATAGGTCTGAGAATTTTAATGGTTATATCTTTGTTTATATTTTTTAATTACTTTAACAACAACAACTAAAAAAAATATCAACGGTTATGAATTCCTGAGTTAATGTTTCTACTATGGAGGCCAACAAGACCTGTTCTGTTCCACCTCTGCTATCTGGTATTGTCAGGGGAGGGATCGCTCTTAGTCAAAGCTGTCATTGACACGATCTATTGCGAGATGGAGAAGTATATGTGGACTGGACCGAGGGCATCTCTCCGGGGGGGAGGGGGGTTCTGAGGCAGTTTTTACAAATGACCCGGGACCAGCTGGGGAGAATTTAGACTCACTTTGTCTGGCATTTTCTTTTAGTAGGTTGACTTCAACAGAGATCATCTTGATCAGCCATCTCCAGCCCCTTTTTTTTCAGTTGGTTTGTGAGGTTTTGGGGGTCTGTCTTATTGCATTTCACTCTACTTCTTCCTTGTTGGCCGAAAGGACTGCAAGTGAACATTTGGTTTTTCCTTCTCCTGATATTGCTGTTCATACTGGGAGCTTTGCTGCTCAGTTGTGCAATGGGATAGCTATGCCTTGTCCCCCACATTTATTGGGACAGCATGCTTTGGCTTATCACCACCAGGAGGAGGTATATATATATTCTCAATGAATGGACCCTCTTTTGGACCTGTGGGGGTCTAGATTGGAACCTGTAATCACTTTATACAGATCACAGTTTTCTCGAATTTGTATTACTCTCACGAGTGTCCTGAGGTATTTATCATTGATCCAACATTTGTCGGAAGCTTATCAACATTCCCCTCAGCAATTTAAGGATGAGTTGGGGATTTTGCTGATGTCTTCCTCAGTCAGATGTTCTTCTTCAGTTCTTTCTCTGGTTTCCTGGCTGGTTTATTGTTGGGTATAGATGCTTATTTAGAAAGTGTTCGTTTACTGTCTTCTGCCCTCGTGAAATTATAAGAAGCTCCTTTTCTCCATTCCATATTGTTTGTCGGAGTTCCAGAGACGTTAGAATCACGAATTGATTCAGCACGCTTACATTCTTCTTTATCGTCGTTGACTTCTCGTCTTTCTGGCTTTAATTTGGGAGTGTCAGCTCCTAGTGTTTTCTGACTCCCTCCTTTGGTTCCCAGGTCTATTGGTTCCCATAATAGTCCGTCTGTATTCTCATGGATCTTCGGCTGGGGTGGATCATCAACAATAGTGTCAGTGACTATCCTATGGGAGGTGGAGCAGTGGGAGCACGATTACATCACTTTCTGGACATCTGGAGTTCTTTCACCATGGATTCATAGGTACTCCATGTTCTGGCTTCAGCGTTTGTCATTCAGTTTACATCACTTCCACCATTATCTGAACAACCAGTTGCCTTTCCACCTTGTTCCAAGGCCATAAGAAACTTGTTAGTCAAAAGGGCAGTAGAGAAGGTTGATCCCATTTTTCCGAGATTTTATTCCCATTTATTTGTTGTACCCTAGAAGACAGGAGATTAGCGTACATTCATTGATCTGTCTCGACTCAACCAATTTTTAGATCCACCTTGCTGTACAATGAAATCTTTTCTTAACCTACAATGTCACTTTGCTCCAGGGTTCTGGATGACTAAGTTCAATGTTACCGATGCTTATCTCCACATTCTCATTGCGGAATTTTCCTGGAGGTTTCTCAAATTTGTGCATAAGGGTCAGGTGCTGCAGTTCAGGGCTCTACCTTTTGGTCTTGCATCAGCACCTTATGTCTTCTTCAGAGTTGTTCGAGCTTTTTCTCGTCATCTGCATTTCTTGGGCCTGTGCACACACATCATTATATGGACGACTGGCTCCTTCTGGCATCTTACCATCAATTAGCAGAACAATACTCTCAGTTTCTCCTTTCAGAAGCCACAAAAGTTGGCTTACTTATCAGACTGGAGAAATATGTTCTGTCACTGACATAATATCTTGTCCATCTGGGTGTGTTTTTCAATACTCACCTAAGTCATGCTCAACCAACCCATCAGGCTTCAAACCATAGTAAGAGCTATCAGTCTTTTACTTATGTCTCCTTCCCCTACTGCATGGATGGTTCTCTCCCTTTTGGGGATGTGGGCATCCCTTGAGCCTCTCATTCCTTTGGGATGAGCACATATGATGTCCCTCAGTGGTCACTGCGTGACCAATGGATCATGCATTCTGATCCTTTGGTTCATCCTTTTTCATTATTCAGGAACAACATCGTTGATTGCAAATGGTGGTTGGATCGGAACAACACTACTATTGAGTTACCCATTCCACCACCTTGTCTGGAGATACATCTGTTCACAGATGCATCTTTTCAGGAATGGGGAGCTTATCTTCAAGGTCAGGATTTGGACAGAAGACGAGTCTACCCTCCATATCAACATTCTCAAACTCCTTGCAGTACACCAGGCAATGGTTCAAAGTCTGTCTCTCTTAAAGGGAAAAATTGCCACTTCTTTGGTATGTACAGAAATGTCCACCTCTTCCTCTTCCACATTGGCAGTCTCTGTTGAGACAACCTCGATCAGACATTCTCCAACCAGATGTTTGGAAACTCAATCTTCATGCATGGAAGTTATGCGGTCCTTTGCCCATCATAAAGGTTTAACTTCTAAGGTTTCTCTGTATTTAACTAAATCTCTCTGTAGGCCAACCACTGCCATTTATCAGCTGAAATGGAATACTTTGAAAATGTCAGTGGTATATTAAAAGGAATTTAAACCCTTTTGATCCTAAAGTATCTACCATATCCAGTTTTATGACTTGGGTATTTGAGAGTGGTCTTGCTTCATCTACAGTGGCTTTATATAAGGCATCCTTATCCACTATTTTTCTGTATTCCAAATATCGGAAGTTTTGAATCCTCAATACTATCAGGTCTACTTAAATCCTTTCCTATTCTTTGACCCAAATGATCATTTCGATTACCGAATTGGGATTTTACATTTGTTTTACGTGCATCCTCCCTTTAAGGCCATAGTTTCGTGTTCTTTGTTTCACTTTCTCTTTATTTGTATTTTTTGTTGTTGTTGGCTTGAGGATGTCATCAGCTAGAGTTGTTTGCAATTTATGTGCACCGGGCTCTTTATCATTCCACATTTGTCCTGCTTTACCCCAATAGGTCTTTTCTTCCCAAGATTGGCAGCTAGGGAAGGGGAAAGATCCTTCTCACCAATCCATTTGCCAGCCATTTCTCACCTTTATGACTGCTCCAATCCTGATCACTTGTTATGTTGGTTGCACTAACTCATTTCGAGGTAATAGGAATCGATTGTTCATTCATTGGGATCCTTCTATTTCCCTCGATTTATCTCCCATTACCCTAATGAGGTGGCTTCATACATTGATTCACATGGCCTATAATGGATTATCGTTACAGGAGAGGAATCTTTTGCATGTCACATCTCACCAGATTCGTCATATCTCTATGTCATTAGCCACCCGGTTGAATTGCCCTCTGGAAGACATTGTGTGGGCTGGTATGTGGACTACTAATACTTTCCTATCTCATTGCTTACATGATCTGACAGTTTCCTCTTCTGAGGGTTTCAACTACACATCTGTTAGATTTTTAGATGAGTATTTTCCTCAATCATATACTCTTTTATTTCTAGGGGTCCCTTTATTTTTCACTGGATCCCACTCTGTGGTTAGTGTTGCCCAGGCAGGTATGCTTTCTCTTTTCAATTCCGCACTAGCAACCTCTTTTACTATAATTACTACAGGTTACAACAGGCTCTTTCAAAATGGGGTGATCCATAAGACCATCTAGGCACCTACTGCGTGGTATTACCTTATTATTATGGACTGTCATGAGTAAAGCTAAAGGGGATCCTGCTGATCTTCAGGTTGAATAAATCGGGGTTTGTTATTAAAAATGTAAGGAACTTGGTTCACCTATTTCACAGTTTCCAGAGTAATGTTCCTCAGGACTCCCCCCCACGTATTACCCCCCTTCCCCTACACCCACCCAAACTTTATTAGTGGAGTTCAGGAGTTCTTACCACCTCTAGTTTGCGGTTGCTGGGGTGGTGGACAGAGGCTTTTCCTTCAGAGTGTTTGATTGTGTTCCTCGACTCTTGGAGAAGAGGGCAAAGTTGGGGGCCCTCGTACTCGGATCCCTGGATGTTTTTCCCATATGTCAATAGGAGTGGCACAAACTTCATGAGAGCTTATTCGTAGTTCCAGTTCAGATTTGACATGAAGCTATCCGGTTGGGGGGGTGCATGGCCCTTCTCTTTGATCAATGTCGGTTTATATATTGTTCATGGAAAAAGGTCCACTATCTCCTCATAATTCCAAATGCGAAGTGGACCCATCCTAGGTTCTTGGTTGAGCACAGGTTCCACATCCTCTCCATAATTCAGGGGCAAGTGGAATACTCCTTGCCCACTTAGTTGAGGAGTGAAGATGAATGTCCATAATTCCAGACCGAATGAGTTCTGTTTGTTTGGTTAAAAACAGCATTCACGATCCTGTCATTCTGAGCCTGGGGTGTTACCTTTTGGGCTTCTTCAGGTTGAGGAGAAAGTTTGTCTACTTTGGTGTTGCGTACTTGCTCATTGTGATTCCAGTGGTGCGAAACACATCACTCTATGACTACAGGTTGGGATCCAATCAAAAGTGTATATATATAACATTGCAGTCCAATAGCCTTGGCCACCAATGTGGGATATAGGTATATAGGATATATATTACTCCTTAATTCCAACCTCAAGTTGTGGAACCTCAGCTATCTGGTTGGAGCTGGTCTATGCTGACGATTACTCATAATGTATTCCACCTTTGATATAGGAACTGAGTTTCAGGTGAAGAGCATACCTGTTCTGGGTATAGTGTGGTTCCCCCAGTTTGTACCATCTTTGTTTTGTTCTATACAGATGCTTTCTGTATGGTTCATGCCTGCACTGGCCCCTCCACCTTCTCAATGTGGGATTCTAGCTATAGTGTCAGTGGAGGTAAGTATGTTTTAGAAGTTAACATTTTCCTAAACTGAAAATGTATTTCCAATTATACTTACTGACACTCTCCCGCCCTACCTCTCCACTAAAAGCCGGTTTATGTCTTGAAAAAGTGATTACGTTATCTGAATGAGGTGCTTATGTACAGTACCTAGATAGAGGGTGCATTGAAGTTGATGGAGAATTTGCTAAGGGCATTTGAGTGGGGTGAAAATACTGGAGCAAACATTTTCAATGCTTAGATGGGCAAAGAGTGGAAACCCTGGAAATCGAGAAATAGCCATAGTGTCAGCAGAGGTAAGTAGTATTGGAAATACATTTTCAGTTTAGGAAAATGTTAACTTTGACCAAATTGGCTGTCTGGTTTTTTTTGTTTCATTCCGGTCAGTAATGCTATTTTTATATTGCTTTATCAAATTATTTCTTAGGCAGTTTGTACATAATTGAAAGGTTATTAATGTTTTCAGTGCAACATTAAAATATTATGCACATTAAAAAATTGGAAATGCAATATTAATAGTATAATATGAAATGATTCTTCACACTGTGACTGTAGGCCAGAAATTTTATTGTTGCATCAGTATTATTATTATTATGATATCTGTATAAACAGTCTTTTTAATTTTCTTTAATTAATTGATTTGCAAAAGACGTTTATTCTATTGTTGGTATTATAGGCTACATGTTTCAATTTTGTGGAAAAATATCTTATGTAGCATCTTGACAATTGAACTTTGGTTAATGTTTAATTGTGATGATTCTTCAGTTTATGTCTCCAATGGCTCAAAAGTAAGTCTGATGAATTATAATGCTATAAATTTGGTTTTGATACCTGTGGTGAGCAGAACAGATAACCAAATGTGCAACTTTATGCTTAACAATAAACACACAAACAAATCTTCAATTCATGCATTTCAGGTACACAAATGCATTTATTTATTTTTTTGCCATTTTCACACTAATATATATATGTGTCACTCAAAGATATTGTTGTCATGAAAACTGTTTTTATTATTTTTATTGATGTTAAACTGATGAAAACCAACTTCATTGTGAAAGCTGTCTGAGTATACCACAATAAATGTATGTCATAAATTTATATTGATCATGAATCCCATTTTTCATGGTTATTTATTCTATGTCCTTCAGTAAGCTTTTAATCTTAATGAAAGAGCAGTTATCATCTGACTTAGTGTTGTTTGCGAAGAAGAAGGGCTTAAAGACATCACAGGCACATAGAATGATATCCCGAAACATGTGGTATTGGTACTTCAATCATAGAATGGGTAGCAGTACACTCAGATTGGAGCCTGTAATTTAACAGTGTTCATTGATATAACTGCAGAGCCTAGTAATGATAGATCCCCTGCTCACATCTTGGTGCTTGAAAGGTGTTAGGTTCATTTGGTCTGTCTTTTAAAACTAAAAACTTTTTAACCTAATCTCAGTTTTAAGTCATTTTCATCTATCATTATGTGCCAAATTTATCATAAGATGAGTCATTAATTTAATTGAAGGTTAATTGTAAGTGCCTATACAACAGAGTTGTCAAAGTTAGTTACCCTACATTTCAATCTCTTCTTATTTTTCCTTTGTCAATATTTGTATGTCATGCATATGTATAACACTTATATGCTAATGCATTAATCTGAAATAAGCAGAAATTTAAAATAAATAATATACTACTCTTAGGTAACTAACTTTTTGAACCATCCTGTAAACTAAGTTTGTTTAAATTACATCTCTCCTTCGGGTGTACCATAAAAATCACCACAATGTGGACCTGTTGGTTTGGCTCTAGATTTCATCTGTTAAATAACCTTCTCTTGTGATGTTAATTAAGTACCTCTATAGTTTAACTCTTTTAAGTAATATAGGACCTCTGTTGCATTTATTAAATTTATTAATACTACTTTTAATAGTTACAACTTTGTTATTGATGCCTGCTTTATTACATATGTGATGATCTAGCCATTGTCGTTATTTATTGATATAATAACTTTCTTATTATCTTGCAAATTCTTGAATACATGAAATTAAGCTTTATTGATGTTACTACAATGATAACCCTGAAAATATCCAAAAACATATTCAGACACTGCATTTTAATTTGATAAAGTTTTGCATTACCAGATTTTCCAATTAACTGTTTGATGCATAATGTTTGAAATTCTAGAAAGTAATACTTTAAACTATTTTTAACAAAAAATAACAAACTGTAATTGTTTAGCTAGATTTTTTTTACATCCATTAGATAATTGATAAAGCAAAAGATGTTTGATAATTAAAATGTAGAAGTTATACATGAAATTATAAATTTAATGACTAAATTTAAACATCCTGTTTTAAAATTAGAACCTCTTAGTTCTAGTACTTGCTGAAGCTAAGGTTATCTCAGTGTTATCTAAACATACTCAGACTTATAATTTGTCATTTGTTTTTTACATACTTGTTAAGTTATTGTGGCCTTTCAAGATTAAGAGTTGTTTTGTTCTTACTCGTATTACCCCCATGCTAGCTTGTTGTTACTATGGAGTAATTCTTATTTTACCTTTACAACAGACAGAATTCAGATTTATTCACTGTAAAATATTTTTTTTTGTCATTGAGATTTCATGTTATGCTTTTTAATGAAATATAGACAATATAGTGTTTATGGTTAGTGATATATTAGTAGAAATTGTGCCTCCTATGTTCCAATTGTTTGCTGTACTATTGTTATATGTATTAGATCTTGGAGTAAAATAATCTGACATTCCACACAGCCCTCCTATTAATTTTACTTTTGGCCTGACAAATGTGGATCAGCTTACTGACTCAGGAGAACTCAGTTTTTCAATCACTATAGAAAACTACTCTGGTAAGAGTATTTAGAAGTGATAATGATTAGGTAAATAAAGCATATATATATATATATATATATATATATATAAAACAATTTTTTTTACTATTTCTTTGATACTTGAGGGACTGAACTTAACAAATTAAAGGAGCTTCTTAAGTTGCATTATTAATAATGATATTTTTCTTTGAAAGAATATTTGTTAGACCTAAAAGTGCTATATTATGTTAAATAAGATCCCAAGTCAGAACAGATGTTTGCAGGAAGTTAATTAAGGATGTGCATGCTTTGTTTAATAGTTTTCTTGTTGAAATTAAAAATATTTACAATGAACTTCATTTTATAGTTTTTCACCTCACTGTTTTGATGAAGTATTAATTAATATCACCAGTAAAGGGATGTTTTGACTTAAAACAATAAATACAGTATATTAGTTTTAAGTTATTTAGGAAAGTAATTTCATTGACTAATAAGAGTTTTAAAGAAATCCTCTAAAGCTTAAATGTTTTCAAAACATGGGAAGTAATATTATCAAGAGCAAATAAAGTTGGGAAACAAAATTTATAAAGACTTAGATATCATAAAATTGGAAATAAAGAAATTGAGGGGAAATTGTTGTATTATAGCAGAGAGATTAGGTTTAAAAGCAGGTATATTTTAGGAAATTATTATTATGTGCTTATGAATCTTTTTTTTTCATTAGTGATACAGACTGAACAAAATTTTGGAGAAAATTTGGCATATTGTGAAATCCAGTGCCTCTCATCATCATCATCACCAGTTCCATCAAGACAACAGCCTATTGTTGCATCTAAAAAGTTGCCACAGAATTTTTCAACAAATAGACATCAGTATATCTCAGAGTCAGCTCCATCACAAAGTGCAACCTTTGCTTTATGTGAAGACCTACATAATAGGAAAAATAATGAGAATACAACAGTTAGAAATCTTCAGCCTCATTGCATTCGTGAGGATGATGATAACACTGATGTTGTAGCAACTTTTTCCACTCCTGTAAAAAATTATGTAATTTATGATCAAGAAGATGTCTCAAGAACGTCAAGTTCTGAATCATCTACTACTGTTTCTAATCAAAAGAGCATCACTCCCTCCTCAATAGTGACAAATTCACACTCTGAAATGGATAACCAAAAAATAAGAACCCTGAACAGTTCTAATATTATTTCATGTAAGTTTCAAAAAGAGACTACATTTAAAAATCAAAAATTAGAGGAAAGGGGGCTCACTTTATCTTCTAGGAAGTGTAATCCAAAAAATATGCAACTAGTTGAACCAAATCTAAACCAAAAAGATTCTGAAGGTGAACAGGATCTCGCCATGGTGTTAGCATCTCCTTCCAATGAACTACAGATATGCACCACATTTAATACTGAAAATATGAATAAGTCTTCACCCATGTCTCAGGAATTTAGTGATACATTGTATAGTCCAAACAAATATTCTGAAAATCAAAAATCACACATCTTTGATGAAAATGATGCCACTGTTCCTAACTTTTCTCTGTCTAAAGATTTTGACCTTTCTGTTAAGAATGCAAAAGTTGCATACCTTATGGCTAATACCTTACCTTCTAACAAATCTGTTTTTGAAAATTATCAACCAAATAATTGTGATATAGTAGTGAAAACTGGTTTTGACTGCCATTATAATTCCAGTATTGGTGATACAGCTCCTAGTCAGCAGCCCTATAACGTTACTGATGATATGTCCAAGGAGATACATGAAGGAAAAAAGTCTTCCCAAACCACTGAGGGTGTATCCAAGGTAGATCATGAATACCAACATCCCTCTAACTTTACTGGTGGAGTGTCTAGGATGGAACACAAAAATCAACACCTTTCTAGTTTCACTAATGGAGTGTTTGGAATAGAACATGAAAACCAACAACTCTGTACTTATACTGATGGAGCATCTGAGATGGACCATGCATATGAACATCCTTCTAGCTTAACTAGTGAAGTTTACAAAGTGGAACATGAATATCACCATTCCTCTGTATTCAGTGGTGAAGTTTCCAAGGTGGAACATGACTACCAACATCTCTCTAACTTCAGTAATGAAATTTCTAAGAAAGAACAAGAATACCAGCATCTGTATGGCTCCACTGATGAAATGTTAAAGGGGATCAGTAAAAAAAAGAGGACCCACAAAATCACTGATGAAGTGTCCAAGGTGTTGAACAAAGAAAGGAAGCCTTCTGTACTTGCTGATGGAGTGCCTAAGAAAGTATATGATTATCAGCATCCCTCTGACCTCATTGATGAAATGACCAATGAACACCAGCATACCTTTTGTGTTACTGATCCCAAAACTGATGTTGTGCATAGATTTAACCATCCACCTAGAATAATTTATGAAGCACCAGAGGTGATAAATAAATGCTTGTATCTCTCAAGCTCAACTAAAGAAGCATCCAAGGTAAAACACATATCCAGTTATCCCTCTCCTATTATTAATACAAAACACACTGAGGTGGAAGAAGAAAACCAGCATCTCACTAACTTCACTGAATATCAACATCTCTCAGGTATTGTTGATACAGCAACAGGTGTGGAGCTTGAATCTAGTCACCCATCTAGCATTATTGACAAAGGATCCACATTGCTCTATGAAGACAAGAAGCCCTGTAATGTCTTTGTTGGAGAACCTAAGGTTGTACATGCAAAGAAGCCTTCAAGTACCATAGCTCAGACATTCATGCTGCCCAAGGATCATCAAAAGCCATCATGTGTTTCTGATTCAACAACCAGTGTGGTACAAGGATATCAACATCCTCTTAGCTTCACCAGTGGTATGTCCATGATGAAAAATGAATGTAATAATCTTTCAAACACCACTGGTACGACATTTAGTATGGGAATAGAATATCAACAGACCTCTAACATTATATTGAAAAAGAATGAGGATGTGTCAACTACACCTTTTTGTTCTTTTAACTACTTAGGCAACACAATGCCCAGTTTAGTAGATACTGATATCAATTCTTGCGAGTGTCTTGATACATCAGTAAATTTGGAAGGAAAAGATTATGGTAGTGATGTAAAACTTAACTCTCTGAAGAACTGTGAATACTCTTCAACTAGTGTAGGTGCACCATCTGCTTCTATATGTGATTCATTGGATCTACGTATAGCAAACAAAAGTACTTGTGGTTTAATTGAAAGAAACCATTTTCCTAAAAGCATTGTAGAAATACCAACCATTTATCAGCAGAAAAATGTTAGTGACTTTAATCTGACCACAGTTCAGCATAATACTGGCCTGCCTCATAACATTACAGATTCAAAAAAAAGTACAACTTTAAAGGAGTTACAAAATGGTAATAACCTTTTGAAAGGCATTAGTAAAGACATTGAATCTGTAAAAGATTGTAGTGGTCTTTTTACAAACATTGGTACAAACGCATCTAAAGCTACTGAAAATTATGTTTATCCAATAACTGACCTTAGTACTGCTGGCAATACTAAATTGGATGATGAACACATTCATGTGTTAACAGAACATGCCAAAAGAAAAGACACTAAAATTTCAACTTACAATACAATTCCTAGGGTATCAAAACCACCAATATCCTTTCAACTTGTGTCAGAAGATGAATCAAGTAACATAATCACCAGTGAAGAAGTATTACGGTATCTCAAAAAAACTTCCTGCAGCAACTTTAGTAATAATTCTCAAACACTTAGAAATTTTCCAAGGTAAGTATATTTGTGTTTACTGGTATGATTTTGTGAGGATTGGGAATGAAAATCAGATGTGTTCTTTCAAAGTAATTCCTACATGAATCAAAGTAATTTGAATCTGTTTATTTGTTACAAAAGTTAATTAACATCTTGAGTCAGTTTAGTTGACTATTTTAAATAATATTTTTTTTAAATGGCCAAAGTTGTACACTCAAGTTTTAGTAATATGAATGTTTGATGAATATTCTGTGAACAATTTTGATGACTTATGCTCCTGTTTTGAACAGGAGTCTTTCTTTTTTTTATATATGTTATGGAAAGACAACATTATTATTGTTCCTTACTAATGTTTTTTTTTACAATATTAAAAGCAGGACAGAACCAAAAATTATTTTTGCAAAAAACAGTGCTTTCCACTTGCTACAAAGTTATTCATGTGAAAATGTCCTTTAATAAATAAGTGATATTTTGGAAAATATTATAAGCCAGTAAAATATGATTCTTATTTCACACAATTAATTTTGAAACAAAAAAAGAAACTCAAATAAATAAATAAATCTTTTAATAACATTATTTCTATCCACTAAACTTGTATTTTTCTCTGTCTTGAATTTCTTTGTTCTATGAACATTTTGCACACTCCTTTTTCAGTGTTAGTTTAATCAGTTATTGTGTCAGTAGTGAAACCTTATGTTTTGATAATAACTGTGCAGATTTAACAAAGATGTTGCTCATGGCTGTACTGTTTAGATACTCATATCAGATGATCTACAATTTTTGTTTTTGAATATCTATGTCTGAGTGATTGAACAGAATCTTAATGTTATTAGAATTATTAATGTTTTGGCTTACAGAATTTCCCTTTATCAAAATAAAAGTACTTGTGATTTTTGTTCCTGTTTAAGCTCATAGACCAATTTCAGGGCTAACAAAAATAGTGTAATGTTTGTATGTGGGTTATACTGATTATTGATAATTTTTGTAATTATTAAATTTATGTTGCATTAACATACAGTGAAGTTTGAAATGACTAAGATATACAGTTATTGTTGTTATTATTACAATTACTTTTCAATTCTCCTCAACTCGAAGTAGCTTTCAGTGATGTAGAATGTATTGTTTTCTAGGTCCATTTCCAATTTTTCTTCTTCAGCAGAGGAAAATCTTCAGCATCCAGTAGTCATGACTAATGAAAACTTAAAGCACAATTCACTGGAGAAATTACCTCCTTGTAAGTTTACACGGGGAATTTTGATTTTAATTGATATTCCACCTAAAGACATGAGCTATTAAGGATGTTCAAAGGAAAAATGATTAAATAAACACATGTACTTGCAGTGCAGATAATATTAATTATATGAACCTGTATAATCATACTGTGATAAGTTCACTGAAAAACAAGCAGAAGTAAGATAACCAAGTTCTATATTAACAGAAAAGGAAAAAGCTCAAGATAAACATGAGGTTCAAATCTTAAAATTTAGACTCATATCTTCAGTTTATTCCACAATACATAGAGGCTATTTAGTTTATTTATGTGTCTAATTCTATCAAGTTTGCTATGTTTTATTTAAGTGGATTTATGCTAGTGAACTCCTTTCTCTACTTCTGTTTCTACCTTGTATTGTGCTTATAATGCTATTTGTCTGCAGTTACTATTTTTGCTAACTATCCATCAGTAATCTGATATTTAACCTTAATTTGTGGTTATAATTCAAACTAAGTGTAGGAATGTGTTATTTATCTCTATATTTCTTTAACTTTTGTAGGTTATGCTCATTCAACCTTTGACAGATTTCATAATTAACTAATCTTCCTAAAAGTTTCTTGCTTGTTCAGTTTGATCTCTTCATTATCTAGGTCATTCTTTCAATGTCTATTAACTATCTGTTCTCAAGCTTGCTTAAACTGATTGACCCAGTATTTGTGAAGCAGTACATATTAATGTTTACTATAATTGTGAAATTACTACTTGTACTTCCATGAAATTTAGCAAGCTTTTAGTTGTACACAGATTGCTTGATAGATATTTTTACTAGAGTTGTCTGTGGATTTTCTAGGCCTTTACTGACTGAAAGGTGATTTTCATGTTAAGAACACAAAATGCTTTACATCTTACAATTTTTATATTTCAATACTAGAATTAAATTACCTTTCACACCAAATTTTTTGGTTTTTTTCTTTAATTGGACACTCATTGTTCTTTTTACAGCTTCTTCAGGAGTGTTCCACTGAAAGACAAACCGTAACTGACAGTACAAAGCTTCAAATGGTTTAAATAATAAATTCTAATTGAATCTATAGCGTGCATTTCTACAGTGTGAGTTTGACATATTAAATGGTAAAGCTTATTGTTGAAAGAATTGTGTTGTTGAAATAATTAACTGCTACCTGTAGTAAACAAAAGTTCTATCGAAGTTACAGATTAAAATAACAAAAAGATAGAATGAAAAAATAAAATAATTAAAGTTATAGGCACCATCCTTTGTCCCTATTCATCTGTGGTCATAGTTGTTCTGTGAGAAGAGCTTCTTTAAATTTTCTGCTAATGTACTTGGTGGCTTTTGTATGAATTTCTATGGAGAATGGTGGTTTCAAGTCAGGTGTTTTTTTTGTTCAGGATTAGTTAAAAAAATTATCTGCAGCTGCAATTTTTTCAAGTTGTTTATAAAGAGAGACAATATGTTCTCCTATCCTTGTGATTCTTCTGGTTTCCTCAATGTACATGTGGTGGTGGATGATACATGTAGCTGGTAAACAACACCTATCTTTAGATTGCAAACATGTTTTTGTAAGACAGTTGGCTATATTACATTCTAGGGTAGTGTACTAAGGTTTTTAAAGTTAGTTTTTTAGGGTTGGACCTGACTGTTCTATCACTTTAATTAGCAATTCAGACTTCCTGATTATATATATATCTGTGATATAATCAAATTCTGCTAAACTTTCTTGGTTTTTTATCTTTTAAAGTCTAGTTCCGTAAACATAAATTATTTTATATATTTTTATAGAAGATCCTTTGAAATTGTTGGCTGCCTCCAGTTTAAGTAAAGTCTGTAAGTGCAAAAATTACTTAAACAGTTCCTGCTACATTTGTGGAAAATATATTACAGTTTTTTCATGAAGGAAAAAGCATCACACACCCAAGGAAAGGTGGCTTAATACTATTATTTTGGATGTAAAATTGGTGACCAATAAAAACATTGGGCACCACATGTACTTTGTACAACTTGTACATTTGGCTTGACACATTGGCTGAATAAGAAGAGAGCAAGTATGCCCTTTGAAGTTCCCTTGATATGACATGAGCCCAAAGATCATCTTACTAACTGTTATTTTTGCATTACTAACATTTCTGGATGTTCAGGCAGAACTAAAGAATTCATGAATATCCAGATATTAGATCTACAATGAAACCAGTACCTCAAGGGGATAGTCTTTGATAGATACAAGTCATGAATCAGATCATTTAGCTCTTCTTGTGTGATCAGATGAGGCAGTTTATGTTGAGGTGCCACAGGAACATTATTTACTAGATGAAGAGGATGAATATGATTCATTGTAAATATGCACTACCGGCACTTTTAAAACTTTTTAAATTATAATAAATAATTAAAAACAACGTTTTATATTCACACAATAAAAACTTTATTGAAGTCGTACGGCTTCCACTTTAAAATATTTCTCTACAAGTACATGTTTCGATGTAATCTACATCATTAAAAATGATTCATTGTCTTTGCAAGATAACTCTTATGTTTTCCAATTTGCTCGTGTTAAGAAATTCACATCTTAATTATGAACAGAAAGTTAAGTGATACTATTTTTCTTTTTGTCAAGGTAAAAGTAAAATAAAATGTAGGTTTCATGATTTAATTAATTATCTTTCAGTAAATGTGCTGTTGCTAATGGCAGGACAAACATAATTTTAGGTTGTATCTACAGAGATACTGAATACAAGTCTAAAGAGGTTATAATGTCATTGTATAAGTTGTTGGAGATTTGTTTTCAATCTTGGGCTCCTGACCTCAACAAGCACACTTAACTGTTGGAACTGGTTCAGAGGAGAGCTACTATGATGATACCTGGGATGGAAAAGTTTTCATATGAGGATAGGCTAAGATCTCTAAACTTAATTTATCTTGGAAAAAAAAAGAGATAGAGAGGATCTGATTGTTAAGGGAATTGATAGTGTTGATGCATCATCTTTTTTCATACTTAACAGTGAGAATAGTAAGAATAGAAGACACAAATATACATTTTTGCTGGAATGAAGTCATCTTCATCTAAGACAGCTTTATTTTTCTAATAGGGTTGTTGGCCTTTTGAACAGGTTGCCTTCAGATGTGGTGGATGCAGTAGATGAAGGAAGTTTAAAGGAGGGCTTAATAAATATTTGAATGATAAGGGCTGGCTTTGAGTGTGTTTTTTATAGAACCAACAAGAAATATCATTTATTCTTATTCTCTAGGTGTAATGTATTGTACTTCACATAACTTTTTTGTTTCTTATTTGGTATTATTTGACTTGCGTGTATGTTATTCCAGTAAAAAAAATGGAAATTATTTATGTTTATACAATCAGTAAATATTAGAACAAAAAATTATGTTGATACATTATAGATTGGGAAAAGAAAGTAGACAACCATGGGAGGATTTTCTATGTTGACCACTTCAACTGTAAAACAACTTGGTTTCCACCATCAAGTTCTGCTTCAACTGTGGACATAACTGAAAAAATAGAACGACAGCAACTAGATGTTAGGTATTTTCTATTGTTTTCATTTTTATGTGTGAATGATTATATTTCATTTTTATGAATCTTTTAATCAATTTATCCTTTCCAATTCTACACAGTAATGCAATGAGTCGCTTTATAATCAATGTGATAGTGTTGAATTTTTGGTAACCATTGTATAAAAAAATGAAAAACCTTTCTGTTATTCTTTTTGTTGATCAAGCTAAGTCTTATTACATTAAACCTCATTCTTTCTCAAATTTTTTAAAGGTATATTGTCAAATTTTATGGTTTTATAATTCTTTCAATAAATACAGCCTCTTCAAGAAACCTTTTCAATTTTCAACTGTAATTAATAGTCATCATTCTTATACCAAAAACTAAACTATGGTGATTAGTTAAATTAAAAAATAAATTAACTGGACATTCTCTGCTGTTTTGCAGTATAAATGTGCATACTTGTTGTCCCGAAACTACTAAGAAGTACCTGGCACATGGAGAAGTCTTAATATTAACATTTTTAGGTGTTGTTAGCCTCTACATCTACCATACTTTTTTTTCTTAAATCCAAACTTGTTTACCATCTAAACTTGCCATATTCTGTGAGTAATGAATCTGTCAATAAATTAAACTAGCTTGATAACATTTTTTCTGTTAAAAGGACTTTATATCCACTGATATTTTGATGGCTTTGCAAAAACATAGGCAAGTTAATAGTGGAAACATTTGCCATAATACTCAGTCATTATCACAACTTACCATTCTACTGATCACTTCATCAAAATCAAGTGGCCTTTGTGATGAATTTAGAAAATTCATTGCCAAGTTAAATGCTCAGCCATATTTTGTCTTTTTTTTATCAATCATAAGAGTATTTACCTTTTTTGCCATGTAAAAATTCATTCATGCTCTTTCAGCCTTTATGTCAGTGTTTTTGTGGTATTTATTCAAGTGCTGTATCTGGCACTCTAATTTTAGTTAGTTTATTTTTATATACACTCTTGACTATTCTTTCTAGTTTTGGATGACAACAGAGGGTGATTGTATACCTTGCCATTGTTTTATCTTCTTTGTCTGTGACTTGTTTTTGCTCCAGTTTGTTTCAGTGATAAATACATGCCATTTATTGTTGTTTAGTTCTTTTTGAGGAGCATTTCATATGAATTATCTGATGACTTGCTACTCTACTCCCACAAGATGACTGATCATCTCTTTTTAAATTGAATGAAAATCTCAGAGTGAATTTTCAGTCAATTCTCATTAGCTTTGACAGTCAACTATATTCCTTTTAACCACTGCTTATTTTTCTTTGGCAAATGTGGTTTGTGCTAATATTTGGTCTTTTCCTAGTCCTTAGGTCTCGTATCTTCCTCACACTTAGCTGCTGTTTATTTTTATTTTTTCCTAAGTTCAAAATGCATCCTATGGTGGTTCTTTGGGTTTCCTGAAGGATTTTAGCTTGAAGCTAAATTTCTATATCTTTATTATGACTTCTTTCCTTCATTGGTTTCAAAAGTAAGAACCAGATTTCATTAGTGGTACTTTGTTGTACCATTATGGATTATACACCTGTGGGTCTAAGTATTTGCTTGTTAGAATGCTCTTGTGTAGCATATATATCGTACTTTTTTTATCTGTGCATATAATGGCTAAGAGTTATAACTGCCTAGTGTGAACAGAATTCTTTCTGATAAGTATCTTTGAAACCCATTGCACAATTACATCCAGTCATAACGTTTCCTGTCATTTTAATAGTGTGCTGGGTTCTGCATGATCCATGGACACACCTGCTGTGTTTTCTTATGAGTTAAGACACTGTCTTGTTTTGTTAAGGTTTCTAAGTTTCTAAATGATTTTGTTGTGGGATCAATATACAGCAAGACATGACTACAACCCTTAATAGCCAAGGGGGTGACCTGAGAAACTTAAAACCTCCAATCAGATATAATTTTTTTATTCAACCTCAGTGTTAGATGTCAGTTTAACAAATTACAGTCTCAGTAATTTGAGAATTATTTCGTGTGATCTGAATGTGTATGTCATGAGATTACCTGATTGTGCACATTTAAGGTACACAAGTTGTTTAAATTTATTTCATTACTTTTCTTTCAAATGTAGACAGTGACATTCATTTAGTTATTTAGTGATTAAACGATGTATGTATCTGGCTGTACTATTTTAATCCTCAGCACCATAATTTAGGGGAGCAGACTTAAGTGAAACAGAGCTATGGGCCTCCCATTATGATTCTCTTAAGTTTTTCTTATGACTTTCCACCCATTGAGTAAATAGTAAGCTTGAGGGCATATAATGTTAAAAGTCATAGTATGATACTTGCAGTGGGCACAATGCATATAGCCCATCGAGCAGCTTTGCTATTAAAAACAGACAAATCTTATGACTCTCACATTACTAAGGAATTGAGTAAGTCTCTTCCATTCTTCTTTGACCAAGATGTATGTTGCCTTCTGTTTATTTCTAGACCTCTTATCCTTTCCATTGTGAGAATTCTATTTCTTTGCCTTACAAGAAGTACAATGACACATTTGAAAACTTGATATATCGAATTCATAAAGCTTCCTGAAGGAAGGACACATTACCTCCTCCTTTCCTTGCACTTAAATAGTTGCTCAAATTCTATTTTATGCTTAAAAATGTAGATTTTAGATTAAATTGCTAATTATATCATAAAAATAATTTATAAATGTAATTTATAGAAATAAATTAATTATTATGTATATCTCTCATTATTAAAAACAATGTTTTAGCATTTAGATTTTTGATTAAAATCTTGAGTTGACTTCATGTATATCAAAGACCACTTTTACCATTCAACATTGTTCAAGTGAGAATCACATAAATATCAAAAGGTCCAAAGTGACCAAAAATAAATTTTTTAAAACACATGATATTAATTTAAATTCAGTTATTTAAATCCTAAAACATCATTTCATCAAGTTAACTTATCAAACTCCTATGTACATTTATAGTACTTTGTGACTTTAAAAAAGTTAGTTTACAATAGCTTTAGAGTTCTCTATAAATCAAATTTTCATTGTTATCTTCTGTGCATTTATGAAAATAAAATGTTTAAAACATACTTCACTAGTATGTTTTACATATTTTTTACAAGGTTAATATTACTCAAGCGAGAAAATAATCTGAACTAACTAGTTATTATCACAGTGCTTGGGTAACATTGTGAACCAAAGTTATGTAAGTTCTATATGAAATTTTGTCTTTTATTTCAGTTAAATATTGTGAAGCAATGTTATGAAATAAAAAAGTTAATCAGAACAAAATTTTATTTTTCCAGATACAGAAGCTTTAGTAAATACTTGAGGCATCAACAATGTAACCAAAGCGCCTTTCTTCGTGAAACTTCTAGATCACTAAGTAAGCCTGTAATGCCTAAATTACTTCAATCTCCTGCCCTGAAATTTATTTTGCAAACAGACTTTACTGAAGCTCTACAAATGTTTGATGTAAGTTATAGTATTAAACAGATCAGTTTTTATTACACATTTACTTTTAATAATTATACTTTATGCATTTACTATAAGTACCATAGTGTTAATTGTGTCAGTCAATAAACTTAATTATAAAGCAGCAGATTTGTTAAGGAATTTCTTACTTTCAGACTGGAGCTTCTGGATCCAACAACAGCATTTCTCTGAGCCAAAAGATTTCACAAATAAAACAAGATCCTAGAAAGTTTGAAAAGTAAGTCTGATATGAATATTTTTGTTAAACAGCCATGAAATTCACAGTTGTTTGTGTTTATTCTGTAGATGTTTTTATTTTTGTGTTACATTTTTAATATTTTGATTTTAAACCAATTGTTTTTTTATGCTTATCATAATCTTAGGTTAATAAAAACAGTATCTTTCCGAGACTGACTAATTCCATATTCTTATAAAAATTCAAACAACTTATCTGTAATGGTATTATTGGACTTATTATTTTACTTTGACCCTGAATCTTTAAAGTTGTGGGATAGGAACTCATGATCTGATTTTGTTTACTTTTACTTTTCCAGTTTGTTTAAAGGAGTTTTTGGGTTGTCTTTATCATCTGTACTGACTATTTGTACTTAACATTTTGAATTGTACAAGAAAGTGTTCAAACTTGAAAGATCTTTGTTAAGAATATGTTCATGCTAGACTTTGATTTTATTTGTTTATGTTGTGGCAGAATTTTATGAAATGCTTTGTGCCTTTTATTAGATACCTATATTTCACCTATTATTCTTCCATTCTAGCTATCATAACATGTTTCCTGATAACCAAGACAATACTATTTCTCATACTATTTGCAAGTTTTCATTTGTGTTGTCAACAGTCATGTGACTAGATTCTGAATGTGCTTGACCCAGAAATCTTCAGTCTCCCACCTCCTTGCCTATTACTTATTGCAATTGCATCAGAAGACTGTACATAAGCTCTGCTTTCCTACCATAATCTACATTTTGTTGTTAATGGTTGTGCTGCTAACTTTTCTCAATATATATTCTGAAGTCAACCTTAGCTCTCCTAAAAATGTTAGCCTCACATGTCCAGGTAGTTAGGGAGCTTGACTCGTGATTTGCGGGTTGCAGGTTCAAATTCCCATCACTGAACATGCTCCCCCTTTCAGCTGTGGGGCATTATAATGTGACAGCCAATCCCACTATTCATTGATAAAAGAGTAGCCCAACAGTTGGTGGTGGGTGGTGATGACTAGCTGCCTTCCCTTTAGTCTTTCACTGTTAAGTTAGGGATGGCTAGCATGGATAGCTCTCGTTTAGCTTTGTGTGACATTCAAAACAAACCAAACCTAAAAATGTTTCTACCAATATTGGAAATGTTACTACTTCTTTGTAGGCCTTATTCTTGCATTCTGCCTCCAGCGTGAAGGGAGATTCCATGACTGCATTGTCAGCCTTTATTGATAAATGTTTTGTCTGCTGATGCCCTTGGCAGGTTTTATGTTCATGTGGATGATCAATTTCAGAACACCTGACCTTTTCTTCTGATGATAAAAACCTATTTTTTTGCTTAGGCCTTTTCACCTTAATTGTTTGAGGAGCAGAATTTACCAGCTAGCCCTAATTTCAAAGAAGCTTCTGTGAGTCTGATTTCTCTTTTTTTTCTCACTTATGCTTTATTTTAAATCTTCAGATATTTTCTGTTACACCCGAGGGTGCTGGTGTCATTTTAACATAGCATAATGTTTAGGGATAACAAGGGACCTATTTGGAACTATTTGATTCTTTTGTTGATTTTTGGGTCATTGCCAATGCAGTTAGAAATCAGTAAATTGTCAGTAGCCTTTTATATTAATAGTAGGGCCATCTTCTTACTCACCTTACTTCTTAAGTTCTTGGCTCTCACATCAGTTTTTGGAGGTGGGGATCTCACACGTGATCTTCATCTTTGACTCTTTGTCAGATTTCTGCCCTGTACACTGTGATTTTTGTCATTTTTAGCCTTTTTTCTTCAGCATAATAATTCTCATGATCCCTTAACCTGGCTCAAACTTCTACCTTGTAGGTTTCCTTAGCTGTGGCACTCACTGATGCAGTTTCTGTTGCTACTTGACTTTTATGTTCCCTTGACACTTTAGCCCATCACGTTGTGTTAAAAGATAGTCATATCCCAACCTTTCAGATGACCTCTCAAGAGCTTTTTCCTTGCATCATTTGTCTTTGGAAGAATTTAACTCTCACTAGTTTCCCATTCAGAAGAAGCAAACCAGCAGGATTAGGGTTTTAATATTTTGACAACCAACAAGTAATGTTTGTCCTCCTGCTTTTTCTTCTTTGTTTGCTTCTCGGTCAATGTCAGCTACTTCTCCTTATCCCTTTTGGCTCTACTGAGTGGTCAAATGTAGAAGTAAGAAGGGTTGGTCTTCTTGCCTTACTCAATGATGCTTCTGTTCTGAACTTTTGGTTGGGCTGTTTTGGTTCATTAGTTCATCTATGGATTCTTGGGTTTGACAGTTCCTACAATTTGATCTTAATATCTCTTCAAAAGTTCTCTGATCCAGTCAAATTGAGAAAGAAGCAGTCAAAACAATTCTTTGTGCTTCTTCATGTTTTTATCCTTTTTCTCTTTGTTTTTCGGAAGAAACCAGTCCATCAGAAGCATGTCATAGACCTGTCTCAGCTCAATCCTTATTTAGAAACACCTAATTTTGAAATGAAAAACTTGAGGTTGCATCCATTTTGATGATGAAGGTGGATTTAGATTACAAGATGCTTATCTCTTTTTTTTCTGTCATTTTTTTCATTTTTGCTATTGAGTGATAGTTTATTAGTTTTTTGAGTTTCCTTTTGGCCTGGCACTATACTCTTTATTTTGAGTAATCAGGGTTTTTGCTACTCTTTGTCCTGTCACTTGATAACTTTTATATGGATGATTGACTTATTATGACCCCTTTGTCCACTCATCCTCTTACACTTAGTCAACTGTTTTATCTTTTGGTTGGGTCATCCACAACTCTAAGTCCCATGTGTTACCAGCATAATATTTGGTTTTTAGATCAACACAGTTCACTGTACACTTTAGCTATCTCCTGTGGTATTGCAAGCCTTGGAGTCTTGTGTACATACTCTGTTGTCTTCCTCACGTACCAAGTAATATATCTGTTCTGTTTTGTAGATGATGATGGCTTCTTTTCACAAAACCCTTCCCTTGGAACACATTTACATGAAAAACCTCTAATGGTGTCCTTGCTTCTCAGTAGTGTCAACTTCAGACCCACTGTCGCAAGCTTAACAGTTTCTTTCATCACTATTGAGTTTCTCTAGTCTGGGTTGAACCGAGAATTTATGACAGTAGGATCTCCTTTATTTCTTTCTTATTGTACAGAACTTCATCTTTTTGGGGACTCAGCATTATTCTGGTCCTTGAACTCCCAAGGGACCAGCATTTCACCTCAACATTCTAGAACTTTTGGTTGTTATGCATGCTTGTCTCGAGCTACTGCCTCTTCTACACCATTATTTTATCTTAGTTCACGCAGATGGTTTTATAGTGGTTGGCGTATATCAATAGCCAGGGTGGTTGGTACTCATTCTTGCAGTCTTTGGCAATTTCTCTACTTTTTTGGCTTATTTTTCAATATGTTCCCCTTTCAGCCCATCACATTCTTGCTGTGATAAACTTTTGGCAGTCTCTTTTTTGAAGCCATCAGCTTCTCACACAGAGTGGAATCTCCATTCTTGGGTTTTTCACCGACTACATGAATGGCTGGGTTGTCCAATGATCAATTCCTTCGCTATATCAGACAATCATCATCATCTTCTTTACTGATTGCCAATTTCAGATCCAAATTCTCTCTCTCTCTCTCTCTGTTGCAGTGGATGCTCTGAGTCAAACTTTGGAGAATCTCATTGCTTTTGCCTATCCTCATTTCTGCTTTCATTCTTGGGTATTTGCCAAGATTTTTTACTTAAAGTACCAGGCTCTCCTTATTACCCCACTTTGCCCACTTCTACTTCTTTTATCATTTACCCAAACATATAGTCAGTAGCATCAATACTTATGTTTTATTCTCCCATCTGAATCTTAATAAAATTCATGAGAACAATATTTTATAACCTATTGATGTTACAAACTCTTTAAGTAACATAACTATTCAATGTATTTTTACATGTACTTCACATTATACCATTATATAAAAATTAAGTACAGTTGACAAGTGAACAGCAGTAGGCCAAATTATGCTATTTTTTTAAGCCTTGTTCAAGTTATTCAAAGAATAAAAATCACACTCAATCTTTCTTTTACAAGTTGTTTTAACTGACACAGTATCTGAATACCAGGGACAAAGCTATCTCAATGATGTTTTTTAAAATTCCTTATTTCTTTTTTTTAAATAGAATTTTACTTTTGTCATGTGACAAATTCAAGTTTCGTCAAGGAAATTAGATAAATGAATATTCTCAAAGTATTTAAAATTACTGATAAATAGTATACAAAGAAATGATTAAGTTATTAATTTTATTTTATCTAAAAGGTGAATATTTTGTTCCATGAAGTTGAGGTTTACAGAATATAATTTTGTTGTTGTTACAATCAGAAGTATGGCTGTTCACTGCATTTTCTTTCTAAGATTACATGCCTGAAAGTTTTCAAGCAGAAACTGACTTACAGATGGATATAAAAGCTGAAAACAAATGCCCCCTATTTTTCAGCAGGAGACAGTAATTCATGGGTCAGAAACTTTATCAAACTATTCTTCTTGTTCAGTTCTTCTTGTTGTGTGAGGTTTCAAATCATATTTATAATACAATATATACACCTGGAAAAAAAGTTAAGCACCCCC